GTACGTAAAAAGTTGGTGGGACACCAACAGAAAACACCGTAAGCAGCGTTTAAACAGCGTTTGTTATCTTGTGGAAGTCAACTTGGCTTCTATTAAAGGATAGTACAGCTGCCTGATAGTCACACGAAACAGTGATGCGACCAGTATTTGGGGAGAATTCCCCCCTCCCCCACCCCCCCCCCCCCCCCCCCGCCTTTAATTGCTCTTCAATTTCCAGCTGGGTTACGCTGTCTCTTCTCGTACTGTCACTCAAAAAAAGTTACAAAATCTCAGTGGGGGATGGAGAGAGGGGAATAAAATGATTGAACAAAAGTGGAACAAGGAACCTTTGATAAAGATCTTGGCTCATGCTTCCAATTCAGCCAACATGAGCCAAGAGTGCTCCAGCCTGCAATGAGCGAGCTCTGTGCCAGCCAGGCTTCTCAGGGCATGGACAGCCCCACCAGAAACAGAGGATGGAAATCCATTATGGCTTATAAAATGAAACCGGGCAAAAAAAAATCAATAAGGAAAAATACTAAAAAGCAAGAGAAATGGGCATAGCAGCAAAGCTAAATGGAGAGCTTTTTTTCAGGGAGAGGAAAGGGGCATAGTGGGTTAAATGGCCTCTTTCTCTGCTGTAAAATTCATCCGTTCTATGTTAATTCCTGGTTTTCAGACAGTATTTTCTCCAGTGATTGACAGGTTCTAGCCAATAATAATAATAAATAATAATCCTTGCATTTGATATAGCGCTTTTCACATCTTCTAGACGTCCCAAAGCGCTTCACAGAATATACTGTAAAGTGAATTGACTGTATATTTGTGGGCGAACGCGGCAGCCAATTGCGCACAGCAATGTCCCACAAACAGTCGTAGATTGAAAATGACCAATTTATTATTGTTTTGTTTTTTTGGAGGGATTATTATTAGACGTGTGGAGTAAAGAAATTTGCCCAAGGTTTCGTCCCGGAAAGTTGCGGAGATAAGGTTGCTAAAGCAACCACAAATCTCCAGCAAGAAACACCAGAATTGGTGTCCCTCTTTCTCATCCCAGCCCTCCTCCAAACTGTACCAAGCCAGTACATCTCAAGACATACTGCAAGAACACCTTAGAGGGGGTGCAATTAGGTTGGTTTCTGGGATGAGGGGGTTGACATACGAGGAGAGGTTGAGTGGACTAGGCCTATATACTCCAGAATACAGAAGAAATAGAGGTGATCTTATAGAAACCCATAAGATTCTTAAGGGTCGTGGCAGGGTAGATATTGTGCGACTTTTTCCCTGGTTGGAGAATCTAAAACTAAGGGTCATAGTCTCAGGATTAAAGGCCAGTCCTGAGTGAATTTATGGAATTCTCTACTCCAGAGGCTGTGGATGTTCAGTCATTGAACATATTCAAGACTGAGATCGATAGATTTTTAAAAACTGAAGGGATTAAGGGACATGGGGATAGGGCGGGTAAATGGAATCAGGTGAGAAGATCAGCCATGATTAAATGTCGGGGCAGGCTCGAGGGGCCGAATGGCCCTCTTCTGCTCCTATTTCTTATGTTCTTATGTTCTTAAGAACGTATGTCATACGAAGCTGCTGAACTCATCTGTGATCATTTTTATTTTCCTTTTGTTTTGCAGTTGGCTCCCTCTAGTGGAATCTCTTCGGATTGGAAAGCTGAAACCCGTCTTTAGTGTTTGACTTTTTGAGAAGTACTTTTCACTGGGGCTGTTTATTTAATTTGTTCACAATGACTTTGGGAGGTGTAACTTTTTTTAAACATTTATAGTTACACGGATCCCCATCAATAATCCTTAATACCTTGGGCGAGTTTCCTTACTCCACACAGAGCCTAATAATAATCCCTCCAAAAAAACAAAACAATAATAAATTGGTCATTTTCAATCCACGACTGTTTGTGGGACATTGCTGTGCGCAATTGGCTGCCGCGTTTGCCCACAAATATACAGTCAATTCACTTTACAGTGTGTTCTGTGAAGCGCTTTGGGACGTCCTCCCGACGTGAAAAGCGCTATATCAAATGCAAGGATTATTATTATTATTCTGTGAAGCGCTTTGAGACGTCGAGAAGACGTGAAAAGCACTATATCAAATAATTATTATTATTATTTCCTCGCTGATATATCTTGTAATGGCTCCTGTCATGAATTGCTATTCACAAAAAGGAAATGCAGCCCAACCAGAAAACAATGACAAAGCACCTCGTGTCTGACTCAGTGGAACAATGACAAAGCAAGTTATGTCTGACTCAGTGAAGCAGTGACAAAGCACTTTGAAATAAAAACAGAAGTCGCTGGGAGCACACAGCAGGTCAGGCAGCATCTATGGGGAGGGGAAAATTAGTTAACGTCTTGGATCGAGAAGCTTTCACCAGAACTCAAAGATACAAAGTACTGATTCAGTGCAACAATTACAGAGCACTTTTCATGATGAGATTATGAATAATAATCCTTGCATTTGATACAGCGCCTTATTCCATCGTTGAAATGTCTCGAAATGCTTCACAGGATTTTATTGTGAAGTGTAGTGACTGTATATTTGTCAGTGAACATGGCAGTCAATTTATATGCAGCAACGTATCACAAACTGCCATGAAGTGAATGACCAATACCTGGGTTAAAGCAACACACACTTACTGTAAAGAGCAATGCAGACACCGACACAAAGATATGAAACCAAATGGCTTTGATAATTTATTATAAAAAGGTTACATTTCCCTTTCCTCGCTGATGTATCTTGTAATGGCTCCTGTCGTGAATTGCTATTTACAAAAAGGCAACAGAGGAAATGCAGCCCAACCAGAAAACAATGACAAAGCACCTCGTGTCTGACTCAGTGGAACAATGACAAAGCAAGTTATGTCTGACTCAGTGAAGCAGTGACAAAGCACTTTGAAATAAAAACAGAAGTCGCTGGGAGCGCACAGCAGGTCAGGCAGCATCTATGGGGAGGGGAAAATTAGTTAACGTCTTGGATCGAGAAGCTTTCACCAGAACTCAAAGATGCAAAGTACTGATTCAGTGCAACAATGACAGAGCACTTTTTATGATGAGAAAAGCTAGATATTTGGGTAGTAATAATATTAAGAGGTCAGGGGGATAAAATGCACTCGATGTGGTCGTAAATCCGAGCAAATGTCAAAGGTAAAAATTGAGAAAAATCAAATCAACCCCCTCCCGGTGATAGCATTTCACCCACAAAATATACGGTCTAATCCACTTTACAGTAATAAAAACAAAAGTCGCTGGTAGCGCACGGCAGGTCAGGCAGCATCTATAGAGAGAGGAAAGCAAGTTAACTTTTCAGGTCGATGACCTTTCTCAGAACCGATGTAGCTGGGCAACTCTTTTCAAAGAGCCGGCGCAGACACGATGGGCCGAACGGCCTCCTTCTGCGCTGCATAATTCCACGACAATTCGCTTCCCGGCAGGGCGAAACCCGGGGCAAGTTTCCTCACTCCACTACGGCCGACAATAATCCCTCAAGAAAAGGAAAAGCCGTAACAGGAGCGGTCACTTCAATCCGCCGCTGTTTGTGGGAGACGCGTTGCACGCGCGCGATCGGCTGCCGCGTTCCGGCCACGAATACACACGCTCCGATTCGCTCGATCGCGCGTTCGGCGAAGACGTGAAAAGCGCTTTATAAATGTCGTATGATGATGATGATGACGATGACGATGACGACGGTACACTTGACAGCGTATCCTGCGGAAGCGCTTTGAGACGTCTGGAAGACGCGAGAAGGCGCCGCGTCAAATGGGAGGATTATTATCATTACATTATTATTATTATATTATTTACTATCACTGGTGGTATAGTATTCACGGTGTTCGACGCGTCTAAGATGACGCCACACTTTTTTTTGTGAATGAGTGCCCCCCCCCCCCCCGCCCAAAAAAGGCGCCAAATCATGGCCCCACGTCAGCGGCGCGTGACGTCGCCTCGGGCGGCGATGACGTCAGCCCCTCCCCTCACGTGACCGTGTGGGCGCGGCCTCCACACAAAAAAAACCGGAGGGCGGCGACGGCGGCGCCGAGTCTTCATGTCAGACCGGGACCGGAGCGGCGGCGCCGGGGACTCGCAGCCGAGACCGGAGAGGAGTCAGAGAGAGAGAGAGAGGAGCGAGCGACACGCGCTCACCCACTCACTCACTCACACCGAGGGACAGGCGACAAGAGCGGCCACAGGCTCTCAGGTAACTGCGCTGCAGCCCGAGGCCTACAGTGCGAGCGGAAGCCTCGGCCTCGCCTGACTCACCCTCCACCACACACCACCCGCACCCTCTCTGAGCTCACGGGGCTAAGAAAGACCTGTGACTGGAGAGGCGGAGGGAGGGGGAGAGAGAGGGGGGAAGGTGGGGGAGAGAGAGAGAGGGGGGAGAGAGAGAGGGGAGAGAGAGAGAGAGAGGGGAGAGAGAGAGAAGAGGGGAGAGAGAGAGAGAGAGGGAGAGAGAGAGAGGGGAGAGAGAGAGAGGGAGAGAGAGAGAGAGAGGGGGGAGAGAGAGAGAGAGGGGGAGAGAGAGAGAGAGGGGGAGAGAGAGAGAGAGGGGGAAGGTGGGGGAGAGGGGGGAAGGTGGGGGAGAGAGGGGGAAGGTGGGGAGAGGGGGGAAGGTGGGGGGAGAGAGAGAGGGGAGAAGGTGGGGGAGAGAGAGAGGGGAAGGTGGGGGAGAGAGAGAGAGGGGAAGGTGGGGGAGAGAGAGAGAGGGGAAGGTGGGGGAGAGAGAGGGGGGAAGGTGGGGGAGAGAGAGAGAGGGAGAAGGTGGGAGAGAGAGAGGGGGGAAGGTGGGAGAGAGAGAGGGGAGAAGGGGGGGAGAGAGAGGGGAGAAGGTGGGGGGAGAGAGAGAGGGAGAAGGTGGGGGAGAGAGAGAGAGGGGAAGGGGGGAGAGAGAGAGAGGGGAAGGTGGGGGAGAGAGAGAGAGAGGGAAGGTGGGGGAGAGAGAGAGGGGGGAGAGAGAGAGGGGAGGAAGGTGGGGAGAGAGAGAGAGGAAGGTGGGGGAGAGAGAGAGAGGGGAAGGTGGGGGAGAGAGAGAGGGGAGAGAGGGGGAAGGTGGGGAGAGAGAGAGGGGGGAAGGTGGGGAGAGAGAGGGGAAGGTGGGGGAGAGAGAGGGGAAGGTGGGGAGAGAGAGAGGGAAGGTGGGGAGAGAGAGAGGGAAGGGGGGGAGAGAGAGAGGGGGAGAGAGAGGGGGGGAGGAGAGAGGGGGGAAGGTGGGGAGAGAGAGAGGGGGGAGGAGAGAGGGGGGGAGGGGGAAAGAGAGGGGGGGAGAGAGAAGGGGGAAGGAGGGAAAGAGAGGTGGGGGAAGAGAGAGGGGGCAGAGGGGAAAGGGGGGGGCAGAGGGGAAAGGGGGGGGGCAGAGGGGAAAGGGAGGGGGGAGAGAGGGTTCAGTTCCGATGGGCTGATTCATATTCTTCAGATTATAAATACTCACTGTGGACTGAGACCTCCCAATAATAACGACAACAACAACAGTCCCACGTGGTACAGAGAGCCTTTTAAGTCCAGAGGATGTGTTGCTTTCGGTGTTGTGCTTTGGATGGGACGTCAAACCAATTAATGATAAAACGATCTTTGCCTTTCATACACCGCCTGATCACATCGACGAGACGTCTCAAAGTGCTTCACGGATTACACTGTAAAGTGGTTTGACTGTATTTTGTGGGCGAAATGACCTGTTAGGCAGTTGGTAAAGGTCCTGCAGTGGTTGTTCCTTTTCTTCAGTCCTGGACAACAATCCCCTGAACAAAATTGGTCGTTCCAGTTTTAAATAAAATTGATCAATTTCTGATAAACGTTAGTCGTCGTGGCTGTGGGACGTTGCTGTATGAAATGTTAAAGCGCCGCTTTCATAGGATTGTTACTTAGGATTTAATTCGGGTGTTTATTCTAATACGGCAATTCTAAATCTGTTGAAAGACTATAGGAAGCTCACTGGCAGATTAATAGCAGAGATCGATAGTCGTAGCTAATCGCTTAGTTTCTCTTTCAAGTTCTTTTTGAAAATAATTTAATTGGGGGATTTTGAGTGGGACAGGAATTTTGGCTTTAATGCTCAGTAAATCTGTTGTTAACACTTGTGTAGGGGATGCCAGTGGGAGGTGAACATTCCCATGAGTGGTTTCACGTGATTCGTCATTAACTTGTTTGTATTAAAGGTGACATTTTAACTGCCTGTATAACTCTTGAGAACTGTGTCTAATCTGTCCAGACACTAGTGAATTATCTCAGCTGATTTTCCTTGGGCTACAAAAATAGCATTCAGATTTGTTCTTTAAATATAAAAACCTACAAGCGCTGGAAGAGCTTTTACTGTCGTCAGCAATATGATCTGATCCGCTTCATGTGTTGTCATGAGTTATCCAGTCAGCTTCACTGTGGCGATAGTTATCTCACCTCTGAGCTGGCTGTGCTCTATCCTTTTAAGTTTTTTTTGTTTGTAATGCTTTTCATTTACAGCATCATGCCTCTGGGTAGATCTTAAGAGCTGAACCAGAAACTGTTGTACAAAGTCTTACAGTAGGGATTATTTCTGAGTATTGAAATGGTCAATCCTTTCGTTGAAGATAATGTTTAGTGTTTCAAAGAAATATTCAATCCCTGTTCAGTATCGCTGGCATCCAGCATGAGCTTCTAAAGAAAAATTACAAGCTAAACCGTGAAGTGAGAGAATCGGGAAACACGAGCCCGAAAGGTAGTTGAAACAGGGGAATTGCTCTGTTATGCCTTACTGTAGGATATCTGATATTAGGACCAGAGGGTCACCATCACAGAAATAGCTGGAACTGTCAAACAAAAGGGATGAGCAATTTAAAAGCATTGCTGTGAAATGTGCTTGCAGATCCAGCATGTGCCCAGTACTCCTAATACCTAATCTACCGAGCACTAAAATATGGTTCTGGACTTTGTGTATCTGAGGTGTTAAATTTTTCAAAAAAAGTATGCTCTGAGACGCTACCTTGCTTGAAGGGGGCTCTATAAATGCATGTTGTTGTTGTTGATTTTACTCACTTATTAATGGCTGTTGCAATCAAGTGTCGGGTCTGAGGTTGTGTTGCACAATGATTCCTGAAATGAGAATTGACCTCTGCACTGTGATTCCATCCAGGCCTGTTTTACACAACAGCATGTGATGTTTACTTTCTTCCTCAACCCACCCACTTATATAAATAATCTGATATAGTATCTTTCACATTCGAACAATGTCTGAGTTCTTCACAGGATTTACTCTGTACTGTAGTGACTATTTTGTAGGTGGGCACCACGACTACTTTCCTCACCGCAGTGTCCCATAAACATCCGTGACGCGAATGACAGATTCTACCTGGGGGATTATCAGACAGGATACGGGAGAAAGAAACTCCCTTCCCTTTTCAAATAGTACCATGGGACCTTTTAATGTACCACCCGAACAGGTAGACCTTTTAACATCTCATCCAAAAGATGGCGTCTCCAATGATGCCGAGCTCCCTCCAGCACTGTATAGGAATGTTCACCTTGACTGTGATTGAGTCTCAACATTCGGCTTGAATCCACAAACTTCTGACTATCCCTCCCCGCCCTACCCGCCACCACCGAAGTCCTTCCATTGCTATGTTCCCAGCTATTCTCCTGGCAAAGGGTAGGCTGTTCATCTGTTAATTATTCTTAACGATGCCTGTGTTTGCGGCAGAGACTCTCAACCAGGGTGAGTACGACTTCACAGGTATTGAAATTGCGGGTGAGAGTTCAGCTTCCTGGCCCAGTGCGTACACACACACACTTAATGTGCCTTGCCACCTGATGAGCGCGCACAGTTTTAACAATGCAGATTTAGCGTGCTTCACTGCAGCGACTGTGGGGAATAATATCAGTGAATATTTATCTCCAACAATATTTGTGCTTTGGGCCCTTGCATCCATTTGAAGGAACGAGTAATTAAATCAAGCAGTATTAAAAGTGAAGCGATCCTCTCTTTGCAAGCTCTTGCGGCTCTTCAGAGTAATGAACCCCCTGCTGTTACAGGTAGCAATAGCAAGAACAGACCCAGACTCGATAACAGTACTAAGCTGTGGGTCACGGCCTTGAGGGACGCTGGTGAAAATGGAGTTTCCGGACCTGGGGAAACACTGTTATGAGAGTTCCTGCAAGCAACTCGGTAAGTAGATGAAATAACATTCACACAGTATCCTTCACGTCACTTTTCACGATCTTTTTGACAGGGATAGAAAATGACTCTCTCCCATAAGAACATAAGAATTGCTAGATGAAAAAAGACCAAGGTCCAACTAGTTCGTCTTCCACCTTCCTGGCAGTCGCATGCACATATGTCTCAAACTACATAATCTTTGCATTTGTTGTGTTGCCTTTCACGTCTGAAAGTGCTTCTTAGGATTTGCTGTGAAGTGTAGTGACTGTATTCCGCTGCTCTTGTCCTTTTCAGATTTCCTTCCAATGAAGTGCGATGCGTGTGGACAGATCTTCTGCAAGGACCACGTCACCTATGCACAGCACAAATGTACTTCTGCGTATAAAAAGGTTAGATTTTCTGCCTCAACAAGGTTTCGAAGCCTGTATGTTTTAGGTGTTGATGTTATCCGTGTGCGCTTCGAGAGGTTTATGTGTTTATCCCTCCGTGGTTTTGCCCACCATGAAATTTTGCGAGTTCCCAAACAGCTGTGCAGTGTCAAACTGTGGATCGAGGGTGGCATCAGAAGGACTCTTCATCTCACTAAATAAACTAGCATTTAAGGAGCGAGTGTGCCTTTCCAGGCACATTAGTTGTTTGAACGTTAGCTTTGAGGTTGTGTCTAGCTTCCTTTAAATGAAATTTTACATGGCCCCTGTACTGAGCACTGTGCACATAAATATAAATTTAGCAGTTGCACGCAATTTCAAAACTGCTAGTTTTGTACAGGGGCTGCAGTAACTCTACTTTGTTCTGCTTGATTGTGAAATTTAATGCAATAATAAGTGAAGCGATCCTCTCTTTGCAAGCTCTTGTGGCTCTTCAGAGTAATGAACCCCCTGCTGTTAAAGGTTCACATCTGCTGACTGGCTGGATGAAAGTGTGGTGTTGCATGGTATTTTGTTTCAGCTGGATGTGTGTGACGTGTACTTTGTGCTTTTCCACCTTTTAGGATATACAGGTTCCCGTGTGCCCACTCTGCAATACACCAGTTCCTGTAAAAAGGGGAGAAATGCCAGACATTCGGGTTAGCGAACATATTGATAGAGAGTGTAAATCTGACCCAGCGCAGAAAAAACGCAAGGTAAGGTTGCTAATGACAGCGCAATAGATCCTTTCAATGTTACACACACTGCCCTTTAAACGAATGATGTACACAGCATGCCTTGTTGATGCTGGAGAGTGTGTTGGGTGCAGCTTTGTATCTGATTTCCCATGTGGGGAGGTGCTGAGCAGGTGCATGTTAATTTCACACTCAGCAGCTCTTAAGCCTCTTAAATGTGCATCTCTTTAACCGTGACTTGGTCAGCGCTCAAAATCCCCTCCTAGCCTCCCTGCTCAGTGATTTCTCCTCTCGCCTTTGTGAAGTTCGTGTAGATTTTGATCCTGTGTGAAAGGTGCTATATAAGCATGACTTGCTGAAGGTTTTTGACTCTCTTGTGGAGAGTAATAAGTCTGTTCTGCGGGTCTTTGACCCATCTGCTGAAGTTGGCTGACAAACAGTGGCAACTTTCCTCGTGTTCCCATTAAAAACGACCCAGTGAAAGATTGAAAGCGTCTGTATTTCTTGTTTAGATTTTTACGAACAAGTGCTCGAAGATAGGGTGCAAACAGAAAGAAATGATCAAGGTGACGTGTGGAAGTGAAGGGAGTCAAAGCCGGGGGACCCCGGGGGAGGAGAGAGAGAGAGAGAGAATCTCCCTTCCCGTCCCCAACAGCGCTGCCGCAAGGCGTCTTTATAACGTTCACGTGAACAGGACACAGACAGACGAGGCATCCCAACAAGGCAGTGCTTCCACCCCCCCCCACCCATGCCTCACACCCCCCTCCCCCAGCCCCCTACACCCTACACTCCTCCCCCGACCAGCCCCTCTCCCCCCCCACCCACCCCGTGTTACCTGGGCAGGTGTTCTTGTTGCAGGCGATGGCGCACAGCTCCAGCACCTTGTCAGCCCGGCCCCCATCCGTGCCCCGGTTGCGAAGGTCAACCAGGATCATGTGATTGTCCGAGCCCCCTGCCGAGAGCAAGACAGCGACAGAGTGAAGCCCCCATCGATGTGCCTCTCGTCACAGTCTCAGCATCATCACCAGCCGTGTAGCTCAGTGGTCAGAGCCCTCGCCTCACGAGCGAGAGGACCCAGGTTCGATTCCCAATCGGGGCGAAAGAAACCTTAGGCAAGTTTCCTGACTCCACGCACACGCCTCTGTTTGCCCAGCAATGAGCGGGAACCCGGTTGTTAGTCGATCAGCGGATCGCTTTCCTGCAGTAATAATCCCTCCCCCGCTCTAAAATATATCCGGTCGCTCAATCCATATCTGGTCCCATGTTTGTGGGACGCTGCTGCGTTTTGCCCACAAAATACACAGTCACCACACTTTATTAATTTATATTATTATTATTATACCCCGGCCTCTGAGGTGACGTGAAAGGACATGTGAAAGCGCTGCACGGGAGTTGACTGGCTGTGAAGCCGGGCGAGCGTGTGTTGTGTAGGGGAGCGCGGTTGCTGACTGGCGCCCAGCGATCTCACCGCTGACAACATGATACCCCAGATCCATCAGAGCCGCGGCCAGAGCCCTGCAGTTGGCCACCACCTGCTCCTGATAGACGCAGAACTCCGGGGTCATCGCCTGCTTCAGAGCTACGGCCACTCCTGTCGGGGCAGAAACGACAACAACAAACTACATTGGCACACCGCATTTCATGTCCAGAGGATGTCCCAAGCCACTGGTCTGTCGAGGGTTTGGACCCGAGCTGGGGGTTTGGATCGGGAGGGGTGGAGGGCAGGGAGGGTCGGGGTAGGAGGGTAATCGAAGGTGCAGTTGATGAGGAGGGTCTTCAGATGGGCCTTGAAGGAGGCGAGGGAGGGAGGCGAAGGGACTGTGGGATGGAGTTCCAAACGGGCAGAGAGGCTGAAGGCCCGACTGCCAATGTTGGGAGCAGGCCGGAGCCCACTGAGCGGAGGGAGCGGACGGGTCTACATGGAGTTAGCAGGTCACAGAGATAGGGAGGAGCAAAGCCGTGGAGGGCTTTAGGAGAACTAAGCTGAGCAGCTAAGAGCATAATTTCTTTTCCTCCTCCTCTCTTCTGGGGGCTCCTCAACGGGATTCGGAGCAGCAGACCAGGCACTGCGGGGGAGGTGGGGTGGGAGGTGGGGGCAGTTGGCACCTTGCTCAACTGGCCATTGACCACATCTCAGCCACAGTGAACATCATCAGCTCCACTGCTCACAGGGCACCGCAGTCACTGACCCCGACTGTGCAGCACGGAAACAGGCCACTCGACCCAACCAGTCCGTGCCGGTGTTTATACGCCACGCGAGTCCTCACCCATTCCTCACCCCCTCCCACCACACCCTTCTATGCTATTTTTACGTTCTTAAGTTCTTACGATAGCACAAAACCTGGATGGATCCAAGCTGTTGCGCCCAGAGACATGCGAGTGGGCAAAGAGAGAGGACAGGATGTTTTTTTGTCCTCTCTTGTCTAGGATCCTGAGGTCAACTGAGGTCCCGGCCCCTGATGTGACCGGGAATGAGGACCCTGCTGGTCAGTGTGCGGGGAGGCTGTGTGAAGACCGTGCGGAGACGGTGGGAGAGGTTACCTGCGATGGCGTGGTTGTGCGGCCCACCCTGCAGCCCGGGGAACACGGACTGGTTGATCGGACCCTCCAGGTTGTACATCGTCTCCTTGCCCGTTTTCTGGTCGACGCTCTGGACTCCTGCGGGGGGCGGGGGAGGAAAGGGGGGAAGGCAACAGAAGGGACACGTTATACAACAACTGTGAGGGTCAGAAACGGGAGCAAGATGCAGAGAAAGAGAGAGAGAGAGCAAGTGATAGAGTGAGGTCGAGTCAATCGCTGTGATGTCTCAGAGCAAACTACAGAACCACAGACGTTCACACACAGAGGAGGCATTTCACCCATTAGGCTCTGTGTACGAGCGATCCCACTCTGTCTCACTTCCCTTCCCGCATCGCTTGTGTTTACTCCTGGTTAGATATCTGTCTCGTTACCCTCTTGAAAGCTCCTGGGAGTCATCCTCGTGGAGTCCTGTAGTCGTTAGAGCGCTCGCCTTGCGAAGCAAGAGGACCCGGGTTCGATTCCCGGGTGGGATTGCTTTAATCCACACGTCTCCGTTTACCTAGTCGATTGGCGGATCGTTTCCGGGTGTCATAATCTCCCCTCCCTCCCCCACCCAAAAAAAATTGGATCACTCAATCTACGACTGTTTGTGGGACTGTCCACAAAATACACAGTCACTCCACTTTAGACTATGTACTGAGAAGCGCTTTGAGACATCTCAACGACGTGATAAGGTGCTGTATCAAACGCCAGGATTATTATTATTATTGCTCACCTCTGCGGTAGAAGATCATGCCAGCCCGGCAGCCACGGAGGGTCTTGTGTGTGGTGGTGGACACCACGTGGCAGTGCTCGAAGGGCGAGGGCACCAGCCCGGCTGCCACCAGCCCGCTGATGTGTGCCATGTCCGCCATCAGATAAGCTCCGTTCTCGTCAGCGATCCCGCGCATCCGAGCGTAATCCAGGTTCCGGGAATAGCAGCTGACACCTGGCCGGAAAGGTTGGGGAAGAGATGAAACTGTAGCTAATCGCGGGAACCAAACACCCACCCCCCCCACCCTCGTTCGTAACTCGATCCGCATCTTCCAATTGCAACAGCTGCCAATTTATAGGTTGGTTTCACTTGTCAGTGTGTCACTGGGGACAGGGAATCCTCCCACTCAACTCCCGTTAACCCTGCAAACCAAAGGGTGGTCTAGCTAGGGTGGTCCTAGCTGGACAAGCAGCGGGAAAGTTTGCCTGGCAGCCCTCTCGAGGGCAAGCTGTGCAGTTTTAGCTGGTTAGACTCCAGCAGTCACCCCCACCACCCCAACGCACACTCTAGGCTCCCCCCATCTTGACATCCTGCGCCTAATACTTTCCGGAATTCGGTGAGCAGGCTGCGTCCCTCCAGGGAGGGAGCGAGAGAGAGAGAGCGCGCATCCTGTTCCAACAATCTATCACAGGAATTTCCAGGTGTAGGTGGGATGCGTGGAATTCTCAGCTTGGTTTGGAGGTGCTATGGTGATGGGTTTCCGCACGTGTCATTATAAGGCAACCAGCGGCCACTCGAATAGAGTTTGGGAGGAAAGTCTTCACCCGGAGAACGTGGGACTTGGTGAATTTAAGAGGAAGCTTGGGGTGTACGTGAAGGAGAAGGGGTGCAGAGAGGGGAAGAGGAGAGGAGGGGAAGACCAGCTCACATGCAGCATAAAGTCCGACACAGACACAGGCATTTGAAATACGGCTCCAACCCACGCACAACGCAACCTCGACTCCCCACCAGTTTTGATTATCCACCGGGAAACTCAACCCCTCTCCCCTTCCCCCCCCCCCCACCTTTGCTCTGTTAAGATGGATGTTGCCAACTATTAGTGTACAAGGAGCAACAACAACAACAAATGACATTTCCACGGCGCCTTTCAAGTCGCGAGGACGTCACAAGGCGTTGGACAGTCAAGGATTTGGACCTGAGCTGGGGGTTGGGATCAGGAGGGGTGGAGGGCAGGGAGGGGAGGGGGTAGGAGGGTGACCGAAGGCGCGGTCGAAGAGGAGGGTGTTGAGAGCGGTGGGGGAGAATTCCTGAGACCTCCCGGTGCCACTGGCTGACCTGCCACGATGAGCTTGGGGTGGAAGAGACGTGCATTTTCTTCCAGTCGATTATAGTCGATAAGGCCAGTGTCCGGGTTCACCTGCGGAGAAACAGAACAGACACTTGTTGGGTGGGGGGGTTGCCAGGAGAGGCTGTGGAGTTACAGCAGAAAGTTTCTCCCCCCCCCCCCCCCAGTCTCCAGGCCAACAAACTTCCCCCAAATAAAATCTCTCACACTTCCTGGATGTTTGTGGGAACGCTGCTGTAATTTTGGAGGGATTATTAACCCCCGGAAAGTGATCCGACAATCGACTAACAATCCTACTTACTGCTGAGTAAACAAAGTCGTGCGTGTGGGGTAAGGAAACTTGCCTAAGGTTTCACCCCCCACCTCCCCCACTGCCCCCGGGAATCAAACCCGGATCCAATCGCTCGCGATGAGAGCGCTCCAACCATTGTGCTACAGGACTCTGCGTTCATTCATTCATTCATTCCATATCCCACGATCCAGGCCCAATTTAGGGCAAATAATGGTCTCGCAGACTGAGGGGGGAGTTTTAGGACTCGGGGAGTCCGTGTGTTCAAAATTGGGATCGGTGAGGCGCGGAGAGGCGGCTGGTGGTGGTGGTGGGGGGGTTGGGGGGGCTCCGAAGATAAAGGGACTAACAGGAAGCCGATGACAGCGAAAGGCTGTTAATGGGTTACAGGAAGCGTGAAGCTGTTTCTGCGGCAGAGTGAAGGAGTAACTGAGCCCGACCATGCGAGGGAGCTGAATTAACAGCAATTAAGCAGCCATTAAACACAGCCGCAACCCCAGGGAGGACACACAGCGCAGAGCAGAGCAGCACAGGCTCTCTCCTCGAGCCTCTTTCCTCGACAAGGAAAGCGCCGAGGGTTAGTTACACTGTGACGCAAGGGTCTGATGCGGGGAAATGTTATACATTGGGATCGCTGCCCCTGGTGGGTGGGATCTTTCGCCAACGTTACCCCCAGGAGCCTTGTGAGTCACTCTTTTTCCCCTGGGAGAGAGAAGAGAGAGAGAGAGAGGGAACGAGGCGAATGAGTGGAGACAGAGAGAGACAGAGCGATGGAGAAAGGCGATGGCCAGGACCTCTCACCTTGTAGGGCAGCGACTCGAAGAAGATGGAGGTGGCAGAGATTCTCTTCTTCTGGGTCATGAAGCCGTGGGTCAGGTGCCCGCCATCGGGCAGGTCCAGGCCCATGATGCGTCCGTGTGGCTCCACCAGGGCCGTGTACACAGCAAAGTTAGCGGGGGAGCCTGGCCCAGACACACAGCCACGTTACGGAGCCGCCAAAACAACCGCGCAGTGTAGTGACTGTGCTATTTTACAGGCCGAGCCAACGGCCAATTTGCGCACAGCGACGTCCCCTCAAACAGCCACCAATCCAGCGTGTTTCACATCAGGAGGACGTCCCAAGACTCTGGACAGTCAGGGATCCACACCCGAGCTGGTGCTTGGGGATCAGAAGGGGTAGGAGGGCAGAGAGGGGTCAGAAGGTGGGCAAAGGCACAGTCGAAGAGGAGGGTCTTGAGACTGGTCTTGAAGGAAGCGAGGGTGGGAGCGAGGTGGAGGGACTGCGGGAAGGAGTTCCAGAGGGTGGTGGCAGAGAGGCTGAAGGCCCGCCCGCTGACGGCAATGGACGGGCAGGAGAAGCGGTTGGGAGATGTTTGTCTTGGGCGTCACGTTGGCTTGTGACCGTTTACCTGAATACGGTTGGACGTTGACTCCCCATTGCCGTGGGTCCAGGCTGTACAGCGCCAATGCTCGCTTCTGACACAGGATCTCCAGCTCGTCCACAAACTCCGTGCCTCCGTAATACCTGTGCCACGGCCCAACACACACACACACACACACACACGCGTGTGAGACACGGAGAGAGGCAAACATGACCGAGGAAGAAACAGAGCCCGGGAGGCTTTGCTCCGACCCGCTCCCACCTCCTGCCTTACTTTGAACCCACAAACTCTGACACCCCCGTCCTCCTGGCGAGTTTGCTCCTGGTCTGAGCTGAGCTGAGACTCACCGCTGTCCTGGGTAGCCCTCGGAGTACTTGTTGTGCACACAGGAGCTCAGAGCCTCCAACACCGCCCGGCTCGCAAAGTTCTCAGACGCGATTAGCTCCAGGCCAAGCCTCTGACGGGTTTTCTCCTTCCTGATGATCTCGTACACCTGGCGCGCGCGCGCCAGAGAGAGAGAGATGCAGAGAGGCAGAGTGAGATACGTACAGAGAGAGATATAGAGAGAGTAACAGAGCGAGTTACAGAGAGAGAAATACAGACAGAGAGAGATAGAGAGATGCAGAGAGAGTAACAGAGAGAGATAGAGAGAGTAACAGAGCGAGTTACAGAGAGAGAAATACAGACAGAGAGAGAGAGAGAGAATTACAGAGAGAGATGCAGAGAGAGTGGCAGAGTGAGATACGTACAGAGAGAGAGATAGAGAGAGTAACAGAGCGAGTTACAGAGAGAGAAATACAGACAGAGAGAGAGAGAGAGAGAATTACAGAGAGAGAGATGCAGAGAGAGTGGCAGAGAGAGATACAGAGACAGACAGACACAGACAAAAAGGGAGACGGATACAGAGAGATACAGAGGGAGAGAAATATACAGAGCGAGAGAGACAAAGAATACAGTCACAATTAACGGTAGATACTGTGACACGCTCTGTGTCGTTCTCCCGACATACAAAAGCCGCAATAACATTGTAAGTGGCTTGTTATGTAGCCGTGCCCCCTTTCCTTTCCCAGCTTCAGGTCGTGCCTGAAGACCTTCCTATTCGACCGTGCCTACAGTCATCTCCCCCTTACCCCCCCACCCACCCCCCCCACCCGGGCTGGTTATCGTGCTCCACTACCGTCAAGTGCTCTGGGGCGAAACCTGTGTGTGGGGGTGAGTGGGGGCTGTGTAAATGCACGTTGTTGTTGTAAGGAATATTATTAACGTTACCACGTTTCTCTATCGCGTGTATTTCGGACTTTAAAATCATTCGGATAATAGCCCTCGAGCCGAGTCAAGCTTCCTGTTTCCACGCTGGATCATTCTATGTGACGCCACATCTAACGCTCTCTCCCCCACCCCCTCACCTCCTGGTCGTTGGTGCTGAGCGGTTCCACCATCATGGCGCTGTGTGAGTCCCGACTAGCCGTGGTGTGGTTGTCTGCCATCGTTTCCGCGGTGTAAAGACCGTCGGTCGGGATTCCTGGCCAGCGGAGAAACACACCAACAGGTGAGCGGGTTGTGGGACAGTCACTGTCCTTCAGACCTGGCGTTGTTCCGTCAAACTCCAGGCAAAACCGTGAACTCATTTCACAAGCGAGAATCGCTCTCTCTCTCCTCTCGCTCAATCCATTCTCCCTCCCTCACTCCCTCCCTCCAAATCCCACCTAAAGATCTTCCTTTTTTGATTGTGCTTACAGTCACCTCCCCGCACCCCATTCCCCCTCCCACTGGCTCCCCCAAAGCGCTCTGGGCAACTATATGAATGCAAGTTGTTGCTGTTGTTGTTGACCCGGGTTCGATTCCCAGGCGGGACAATACCACGGGCAAATTTCCTTACTCCACGAGCCTCTGTTGACGTAGCAGTAAGTAGGAACCTGGTTGTTAAGCCGATTGGCGCATCGCTTTCCAGGGGTAATAATCCCTACTAAAAAAAAAATGTGGTCATTCAATCCGTGACTGTTTGTGGAACTCTGCTGTGCGCAATCGCCCACAAAACACACAGTCACTCCACTTTACAATAGGTCCTGTGAAGTGCTTTGAGACATCCTTCCGACGTGATAAGGCGCTATATCAAATGCAATTATTATTATTTTATTATTGCCAAACCTCTCCCGGTCGCAGTAAGCTTGTTCAGACACCTTAAAAGATCTTGCGGCTCTCATTCAGAAAGAGAAGGGAGTTGTCCTGACCAATAATTCTCCTCCCTAACTGCTCATTCGCCTCACATCTGTTTGTAGGATCTTACGTCGCGAACAGCTGTAATGTTCACCCACAATAACCCAGTCATTGCACTCACCAGCAATCACCTACGAAGACTGATAAAGGGCTATAAAACTGCAAGTTCTTTCTCTTTAACATCCAGCCGACATAAGAGTTGCCAAATTACACCTCGGCAACACCTTAAGCTACGCCACAATTTTTCTCGTCTCACCAACAGACACTCCTGCGCATTCTTTTAAAGCGCCTCTCACCTCAAACGAACAGGAGGGGATTGATTGGGAAGAAAGGGAGGGTTGTTGCAAACACATGGGCGGCCGATTTAATTTTTCCCGAGGGGGGTGGGAGGGGAGAGAAAGAGAGAGAGATAGACAGAGAGGGGGGAATTAACGACTGGGACAGGGTTGACAGGAAATGGGAGGTTGAAGTCAGGACTCTGGGATTCGTTTAAAGAAAACAACAAAAATCGTTGACGGCAGGTAGGGTAGCGATGGATTCTGGAAGGGTGAGATCAAAATAGGCCGAAGGGGCTTCTTTATCCAAATAAGAGAGAGAAAGACTCCACACCTTGCTTTCAGATTGCACTGAACGCTGCCTCAAGTCATGCTGGTCGTCTGCCGAGCGACAAGACATTTATAATAATAATAATAATAATAATCCTTGCATTTGATATAGCGCTTTTCACGTCGGGAGGACGTCCCAAAGCGCTTCACAGAACACTGTAAAGTG